TTTTTTTTTTCAAGAACCCCAAAAGTATTAAATTCCTTGATCTATATTCGACATAACTAATTTGACCATTTTGGTCGTGATTGGTTTTATACACGGTATGGCAAGAAATTGGTGGGGGAAAATGATGACTCCTATGCAAAAGGTTTGGGCCAAACTCTCTAAAAGAATTTGTTCGCGGAAAAATGGTTAGTTTTTATAATTTTTCCTTCAAAAGAGTGATTTTAATTGGTTTAGTTGTATATCCCTATGAGTTGTTTCAAATTTTCCTTCACATATGTTTTTTTTTTTAAAATGTTTGTTTCGCTTTGATTGTCTTATTGCATGCTATTCCTTTCTTCTTCAAACATGTAAACATGTTAGTAAATATTACATAGACCCCAGGAAGTAATTTCTTGCAATTTTCCAAAATTTGAAGATGGTAAAATTGCAACGCTTTGAAGATCCATTAAGATTGGAGGAAATTTAATTGAGAAATTTGTAAAACCTCATATCTCTAACTACTGATATATGCAATCTAGCATGTTGAATCAACAAGAAAAACATATCTAATAAATTTCATGGCATCAAGCAAGTATTGTTTCGTAAAGGTTATAAAGCACCTTGTAATTATCCAAAAGGTCCTCTGTAATATTCGAAAAATGAAACAATGTATGATAGGTGCATTCTTATCGCGAGTAACAATTATGTTTCCTTGTACAATTAGTTTAAGAGCTTTCTTTGTTTTGTTTCATTTATTATTTTGAAATAGCTAATTGTAATAAACATAAGCTACACAAAAGAGTTGTGAAGCTGATCAACTCCTCTATCAATCATATTTTTCAATAGATATTATTCATTGATAGGTTTTGCTAAAATGTGATATTAAAAAAAAATCAATAGAAGTATGAAATTTATAAATATACATGTTTTTCTAAGTATAACAAGTTGATTTGTCTAATGATTAAGCGGTCTAACAACAACATTTATATTTCTACTAATACTTGTATCAATTTGAAACACATCTACAATATAGAACTGATTGACGACATTATGTACACTCTAGATGAACCACTGTCACCTAAATCATGTGCCCTTGATTTAGAAAGTCATTAATACGAATTTGACTAATGAAACTATTTATACAAAATAATCATATTAACATCCTTTTTTATCCCAAGTTAATAGTATAACTCAACGTAAGTTACTATTTTCAAAATTTTCTAGGTATCGTTAAGCTTCACCAAGATGTGAGCTCATGTGAGTACGAAGATGTCCACATTTTGTGGGACATGCTCAAGAGGAAAGAGGTGGACTTAACAATTGAAAATGAGCCTTTTTGGAGGCTCCACTGGTCGAAGTGTTCCCCTTTACTCTGTCGTGCTGTTTGATTTTCAAGATTGCCAATGGGAGCCTTGAACGACACATGCAACACATTTTCTCTCAATAACCAGCTTACTTCATTGGATACATGCAATTTGATTTGGAAGCCTCAAATATCTTGTGATATTTATGATTGTATCCATTATAGGTTCTTTGTGTATATTTGATGTGAGGATTCTTGTTGGAGGTATAGCTAATTCATAGTGGTTTTCACGTACTATGTGTTCAAATACTTACGAATCTAATATACTTATTAGGACCATATGATGAACTTCTTTGCTCTTGTTATCATTTTGTTGTTAACATTTTTGTACAAGAATCTTCTATATATGTATATTAAATTACTATATACGTATAACCATGTGATATAGCTCCATCTCGGATGAATCGGGAGTAACGCCTCGCAGGTGAGTAGGTTGCCCAGTTTATGATCAGTCCAGGTTGGATAAACTGGATTAACAGGTTGAAGCTACCTGAGTTATTTAGCGCGATTGTACCTTAGCAGACCTAGTTCGATTTAAGACATATTCACACACGCGAGCTAGTAGCTTAAGATACTTATTGACCTCAGTAGGTCGACCTAGGTAGGAAAGGACATGTGAAGACAATTGGACATGAATAAGTGTGAACGCAACAATATGAAACAAATACTGTGAACACAATAAGATAAGGATGACCACAATCGGATAAGAATAAATCTCGGGCAGCCCTTGAGCAGCAAGAATTCTTGAGCACCAATACAAATAATTAATTGGGCACCAAAGTATTCACCCTATATAAAGGGATAAGGTACAACTAAAAGACTTTATCTCTAATCTCTAAATATTATAGATATTATTTACTATATTCTTTCTCTTTTCGATCACTTACTCGAGCGTCGTAGTGCTCACGCGGGCAACTTTTCCCGACCCTTATTTGCATTTTATCAACTTTACCCGGTCGTCGGAGGCCATCAGTCCAGTTCAGCTAGATCCTCAGTTCGACACATCATTTGGCGCCATCTGTGGGAATTTTCATAAAGCAAAGAGATTTCTCACCTAACTCCGTATGACCGAGATGCTGACATAGATGCACTAAAGAAAAATGTGACGGAGGATTTCAGGAAAGCCTAGACGATAGACGACTCCCACTTGAACCCAATCGAAACTGGTTGTGGTTATGCACATGACTCCATTGAACAGTCAAATGACGCCAACAGACCTGCGCCCAAAGAAGTTTATTCAAACCACCCCACATGGAGAAAGGGACTAATTGTTTATTTCGACCGAGAACAATCGAGCCCCATCAGCCTATGAAAGAAGACAGGAGCACCGAGAAGGTTTTGGAGGCAGCAGAATGCAGCTGGTGGTATACACAAACATGAGTGGGATAAGAAGGTCTCTCCCAAACCAAAATGATAGACCTGGTGACCAAATGATAAGCCTCACCTGATATAAGTTGCAGAAAATAATTCATGATGCAGTTGAGGCGAAGCTGGATCAGATGCAGGTTACCCGCTCAGTCGACGTACATGACATAACACATAAAAGAGAGGAGGATGAGGTGTCATCAGTGAAAGCAACTACCTTCTCGCAACCCCCAAATGATGATAATCTAGAGAGGTTATCTACATAAATTCTGGACTTACAAGAAATGGTGCAAGGCAAAAGAGGATCTAGCACCAGAGGCCACCCTTTCTCATAGGAGATTTTGGAAGCTGACCTTCCCCAAATTTAGGGAGATTAACCTCATTTATGATGGGTCTACAGATCTTTCGCAACACCTGAAAAGTTTTGGAAATATGGCTGTGTTGTTGTACAGGTACAATGACTCAGTTAGATGCAGAGTTTTTTTAGCAACACTATGAATACGTTCCGGCAGCTCCCACCCAGATTGATCTATGATTTTGATGCATTCAGTTCAAGCTTCATCATTAGTTTTTGAGCATAAGAGCACATGAGAAGATCTATTTGACTTTGATAGGGATATAACAAAAAGAGATCAGTCACTGAGACTACGTAGCTCGATTCACGAGAGTTTACGTAGATGTGCCCTCGGCGTCTGAGGAAATTAAGGCGGGAGCTTCGACACGAGAATTGAAATCGGGTCTTTGCATGAACTCTTTAACCAAGTGACCTGTTAGGACCTTTGATGATGTGCTGGAAATATGCGCCAAATACATAAATGTAGAGGAATTGGAAGCCTATTTATTATAGCCTTCAACTAGTTAAAGTGGA